AACAAAACTCACATCACTTAAAGTTGAATATATAACCTACAGTTTGAACGTGTTTTTACTGTCATAAGTCTTATAATTTTCATATAATTTACAGTACAATTCGTTACATTTATGCTGAGTCCCACTGTATATATATAAAATATAATATACGTATATATAGGGTATATAGGGTAATCATACACTCTAAATTTTAATATTTGAAGTGTCGTTATACTATAAATTAACATTAAACTTATTTCCTTTATATATTACAGAGTTGGGACAATAATTGGTTTATTAAGTATTAAGCCATTTGAGCATGGTGTACAATATTTAACCGGGTTAATATTAGGTTATATTGCTTGCAATGCCCACTATTGGCAGCCATTGCATGCGTGCAGTTTGTGGCCAAAACTTATTTACTGTTCGTCGGCCGTAACTGCGCTGTTGTGCGCTATAATTGTTAGCCCGATTGCGGCTCAGTTGGATACTCTACCGGTTTTAAGCGCACTAATCCGTGTGTATTGGTCGGCGTACGCCACTCTAGTTGGTTGCTGGTCAGTGATCCGGGCGGGCGATCACCACAAATACCGCCATTTCCTGTCGTCCCGTCGTTGGCGTCCATTTCGCTCCGTTCAACAAACTTCATACCTGTTGCACATATTGTTTTGCCGGTCTCTGTACTCAGCACTGCCCGACCGCCTGTACCGTACGGTTCCGGCGCCGGTCATAATGTTGTCGGCGGTGGCACTCAATTGCGTGGCGATGACTGCGGCGGCCCTCGTGTTTGAGCTTCCGTTCGGCCGTTTGCAGCGATTGTTGTCTAAGTATGTGTTCGCCGACACCCGTCCACCGGTGCGACACATCGACAGAACAAAAAGATTGCTTTAATTAAAAATTTTAAAAAATAAAAAATTTATTTAGAATATAAGAATTCGCCAAATAATTACATCATTCAATTTTATCATTAATATCAATAAAGGACGATGTTCAAACCTGGCCATGAGTGCAACCGGGAGTTATCATTATAAAACGAAAGTACACTTTGTAAGAAGCATTTTGGTATATTTTAGTTGGCCAACCGACATCGGGTTTTGCCGCAGTGACCACTTTTATCGGGGAAAATTTGAATATCAACTCGTGTATTCTATAAATAAGTATTTCATATTATATATCAATGGATAGGTATTGATTAGTGGAATCATATTCTGAAAAAATTTCTTAATTCTGACGTAATCGACAAAAGTTATACTATAATTAAGAAATTTACTATTAAATTTGTACGTTATTTATGGCTTAGAGCGTTTTAATTTTAGTTCATTCATATGAATATTAATTATAATTAAAATGATAATCAATATTGTAAATTAAATAGATAATTATATTTTTAATTTACAAGTTTTGGCCATTTATGCATTGAAATTGAACTTGGTCCTTTATAATAATATTATGGTTAAAGTCATAGACTTAGTGTTACCCATGTTATTCCTATGCCATAGAATTAAGCTGTAATCCCATAGAAACCCATATTAGGGCGTCCCACGTTAAATCTATGAGAGATTCTCATGTTATAGTATAGCCATAGGATTAACATGGGATCCCATGTAATTTTACATCGAGTGGATAAGAGGGACGGGGAGGTAGGAAGAACGACCCTCTAAGCCACATTCTTCATATATAAATTGTGGTTAAAAATAGTTTTATTAATTAATTTTAATTGGACAAACTTAAGCACCTGAAACCAATATTCATAAAGAGTGTATGATTAGTTGTATGCTGGAATATTTTAAATCATTCTAATTCCAATTTACGTCAATCATCAATAATTTATACAGTATAATAATATTTATTTAATTAACTAATATAATAGTAATCAATACAAATAAATTTAGATAATGAAGCAGTAAAGGTATCTCTCACAAAATGTATAAACATATCGGGCAATTAAAAATTATTTTATCAATAAAAATGTAATAATCAAACAATTGTATTTATTAGAAATAATAATTACTTTTCTATTAAAAAACTAAATATCTTGATTAATATAGAAATTGCGATCCATTATAAGCATATTGACTTATTTGCCATCACAAACAACAACTACCTAAGCTCTGAATTGAATGTTCAACACAATTGATTTGATAGTTTTGATGCGCCGGTGCTTTTCATAGCAGAGGGGAACGGGTGTGCGTGGGCTGCGGCTAAACTCGTAACGCAACACAATGCGGGCCAACGCTAGCTTTGTAGCCATGAGTGCGAAACTCATTCCCACACAATTGCGGGGCCCGGAGCCAAACGGTAGGTACGTGTAGGGCGTCAGTAGGCGTCGATTTTCCGGCATAAACCTGTCGGGTAAAAATCGGTTCGGCTCCGGGTAGTACTCCGGCGAATGGTGTATGGCGTGTATGGGTATGACCACCGACTGACCCCTGGGAATAGTGATACCGGTGTCGCCGAGCGGGTAGTCTTCGGCCGCCACTCTTAACAACTTAAGTGTCGGCGAATGCAGGCGTAAAGTCTCTGAGAACACAGCGTCCAAATAGGCCAATCGTGGCAACACGTCGTGCCCGAGCTCTCCGTCGGGTGTGTCAGCCGCGGCCGCCATCACCTCGTCGTACAGCCTTTGCTGGACATCCGGATTGAGCGCCAACTCGTAGCACATGAACGCCAGAGCGTTGGCCGTCGAGTCAAATCCAGCCGTAATGAAGCCGAACGCGTGTCCAATCACTTCCTCTTCGGTCAAAAACTTCTTCGACAAGTCATTCACTTCGAGAGCTCTCCTCTCAATCATTAGCTCTTCCTCTCCTGAAATACGTAACCAAATAATATAAAGACGTTTAAAATATTTCACGATTTGCTGTAACCTTCGTTCACGTGATGGGCGTCTGGCCGGCGCTCATTGTCCACTGTTTCGCTCGCCGGCTGTCTCTCCGCTCTAATCAATAGGTCCACGAAGTCGTCGTGTCGGACATCCGGTTCCGCTTTTCTGCTAGCGATCAATGGGCGCAACAAATGGTAAAAATAACAAATCGACTCTTCATTCATGAATGTCTTGATATCCAGTAGGCGTAACGCAAAGCGCGGCAATAATACGGCCGCCAATAGGCGCCAAACGGGCGGTTTGAGTACCGCCCGGGCGTACGTCACGAACTCGTTGTCCGACTCATTCAATGTGTCGATATGTGAGGCGAAAGCGCACCGCGCGATCACATCCATCGCCAAACAGTCAAAAGCTTCCTTCACGTCCACTTCGCGCACCGGACGGGCGGCGCCCGCGAGTCCGTACACATCGCCGAACGTATCCGCAAATACATCGAGTGTTTCGCCGACTGTTTTGTAGAGTCGACGCATCTTTGCGGTGGAAAAGGCCGGCGACACTATGGACCGCATGCGGCGCCAGTCGTCTCCCCGCGCGCCCGACACTGACTGGTCGACCAGCGGGTGATACATATCGGTGCCGATACGGCGGTCGCGGAAATTGTTGAAATCCTTGACGAGTATCTGTTTGATTAGCGCCGGTTCCGCCACATATAGGATAGGTTTGTTACCATCGAATACTCTATTATCCATAAATATAATTTGCGTATAAATATAAAGTATAAACAGTTAAATACAAAGTTTAAATATAAACATAAAGCCTTTACATGTAATTTTAATAATGTACTTAGTTGCGCTAATAACAAACTACGATTAAACGCAATGTTGTTTTTTAACCACAATTCGAGTGATGATAACAAATTCCATAAAATTAACATTGTACAAGTTAAACATATATTATTAACTTAAGTATAATTCCATAAAAACATATTAAAAAATTTTACCATATGATTAACATTACCTATAAGATTTAGGCTTGCCAACTCAATCCGATCAATTCCTTAAAAATTTCAAAAATTCCAAGAATTCGCATTGACAATTTGAATTATCTGTGACTAACATTTTATTGCAGATTTTAAAAGGAGTTTAAACTAATTTTTTGATGAAATTTATATAAATATATTATTTAATAGTTATCCATGTTTTTATTTAAAATAATTATTTTAAATAGATTTGTTTTTAAAATTTATTTACTTCATACATTTGCATATTTAGTTTATTACCAAAGCAATGCATAATAAACTTACATAAAATGTTAGCATAGAGTATCAAAAAGTGCCCAACTTTGTTTTTTACTTAATTTTTACATTCCTTGATAATACAATGTAAAGGAAAGACTTTCGCTTTACACCTTGACAAAACCCCCCATTTTCTGACAATCAAGGCAAACCTTGACGATTTGGCAAGCCTAATAAGATTACATTAATTTCATGTTTACAATCCAGATATTGTGATTTATAGAAATTATTGCCTAGTTTAATTACATATTGTGTACATTCGTATTATTATGATTTAATTAAATTTATGAAATAATCCTAATTATTTTACGCATTTTTCAAACACTTGCCCAAAAAGTTTGCCATAATCATTATATCGTTTCACTTCAAGATCGTGAATTGTTATAAAGTACTGTTCCCACATATTACCAATGACAATCCATGGTCTTGGTCCTTTTACGCCTAATTTTTTAAAATGGTCAAAGTTTCGGGTGAAGTACCTGTAACGCACAATTTATGAACATTTTAAGTTTTGTTTTTTAAATAAATGTTGTTTAATGTAAATTTTATTGCTATAATATAATTGTTATAAATATCTACCTGTACATTAAATAAATAATTGTTATAAAAACGCAAAATAACCAATAATTAGCAAAATAATCAAACATATTTTTAAGTTTAAAATACAAATTGCAAATATAATCTTAATATTTCACTAACTGTTAATGTGTTTGTTAAAAAATTTCAGCATATATTTATACAGTTTATAGCAAATATTTTTGCCGGTCATCATGCAATAAATATAATCAGTAATATAAAACAGAAACAGAGGGTCACGCATAATGTTATACATTAAACGTTACATGAATAAGGGGTGGGGGACTTACAATATGCATTAAAAACACATAGAGTTGGGATGTCGAAGGCCAAATCGTAATTACTTTATACAGGGGATAGGGCCTGTACGGTATACAGTACAATGTACACCATGTATATTATAGCCAATAGTAGCCCAGGCTACTATTCTCGACATAGAAAACATAGAGTGGGATAGAAAAAATAAAGGGTGGGTGTTTGCAACAGACTATGTGTTTACTAAACGTTTGTAAAACGAAAAGTTCACGCAATTTTGTATAATACAGACTACTCCCGATATTAGCAAAATATTATATTTAAAAATAGCTTTATTTATCCAGCAAAACACTGTTTATGACGAGAGTAGATTGTAATAACTACATTGAAAGCATGTTTTATGTGTTTAATGTTTTGTTTCCAAATCCTTTGTCTATGAATTGTGGCAAATGTTTTGATTTTGTTATTTTAAAATGTTTTTTAATTATTTGTAACAATGAACATTTAAACATTTTTAGTTAAAGTATAGAAAATAATTTATTAACGGGGGAAGGGGAGCAGGAATCATCTAGTACTAATAAATATATTGACATCTAAACATTATATAATGATTAATAAATTAATATGTGTTCTAAATTTCTATAGGTTAATTGAATTTATTTAAAAGATTAAAAACAAATTTAAATTGAATTTGACCCTAGCTTAAATTCAATAGTATACTTCTATAATACACGTTACATTGACAATAAATGTAATGATCTTATAAAATAGTCACATTTATTCTTTTTAACCTATTTATGAATGTAAATATTGTCCGTTTATTTAAAACTTTACAGAATTGTACAATTTCTGATTGCAGTACTTGTCTTATAATACGTTCATAAAACAAAATTGTTCAAGTCAGTATTATTAATTAATGCTTTGCACTACAATAGTACTCAAATATTAGCAAACAATTAAGACAATCATTCTTGTAATTTATATTAAGTTCAGACAATGAAAGGCTTATATATTATGAAATACTTTTGTATTATGTTTTATCATAAATAATAATTGAATTATTGGTACAATTCTTGTTAGAATCAACACTTTTACTAAAATATTTCATAATTACAAAACGTTTTTAAAATGTACAATCATTTTAAAAGGTAAACACATCAATATATCACTATTTAATTAAGTCATCTATGTCATTGTTATTGTCAATGCTAAGGTTGTTATTATTTTATGACAAAATGATTTTTTTATCTAATAGTAAAATATTTTGCAATTTTGAGAGAGAGAGAGAGAGAGAGAGAGAGAAAGCGAAATGTTACTGAAAACAATTTTGAGAATAATGCTTTATAGTAAACTAGAGGAGTGCCCGTTTAAGGAGGGGGGGTTAAGGTGGTATAAATAAATAGTCATACCCGGTATCCGTTTCAGTAATAAAGACCTCTCTCTCTCGTAAAATAAACAAAAAACAAATAACAAAGTAATGTTGCTCATGGGTATCGATCTCAGGCAATAGAGCTCACAGACTACAATTTTATCCATTAAGCCAAAGTACTTATCATTAAACAAACGCTTTTATGTGCAAATAGTAGACGTGATCGTTTAGTGTACACATAGTCCATACCCACCCGATTATTTCTATCCCCCTCTATGAGTTTCTAATGTATATTGTAAGTCCCTACCCTTTATAAATGTAGCTTTTAGTGTATAACATTATGCGTGACCTTTCGAGGTAACATTTTTATATTATTTCTTGATTTCTATAAAATTACAGTTTAAGTCTATGCTATAATTTAGGTTTAACATGGATACCGTTAAGTCTATGGCACGTAAAATAATAATCAAAAATTTTGACAAGTGATATTTATTTAACAATTCTTTAAAAATTAAATTTGATATATAATTATAATTATAAATACAATTATTAAAAGCAATATATACTTGACTTGAAACCCAACAATATTATCTATTCTTTGAGCATCACCCCAATTGTGGTTAAAGTATTTACATCGCTGTAATCGCTGTGTGTGTGCGATTTGTTTATGCTCTACTCCACCAGAATATACACAATTCATTACAATATTTTTATGGCGCCAAACAAACTACTTGTTACTAACGTTAACAGTAAGTTCAATTTAAAAATTGCATTACCCATTATTACAACATTTTTCTTGTGATTATTATTGATATAAATAAGCTAAATCTTTTACTATTAAACTTTTTTTTTGTTAAAAACCTAATATAATGCCACAACAAAATAATTATAACCGTATTTTTAACACATGCAATTATATTAATTTTTAATTAAATTTATTAAAATTATTGAACAATAATTACTGATGTTAATTATAATGATTATTGTAATTTGTCAATTGATTAACTTGTGGTCCCACCGATAGTATATACCGACACAATTTGCTGCAAACGCATGAGCGGCAGTTCAAAAAGCATCGTGGCAACAATCATAGTTAGCCAATTGGCGCCGATATAAAACAGCCCAATGACTGGCGCCGGAACACTATCTAAGAAACAGTCAGGTATAGCCGATGACAGGGTATAGAAAAATAGGATATGTAATAAAAACGATGTCTGTTGTGCCGCACGGAAAGGGCGCCACCACTTGGATGACAACATTTGTGTCCACCGGTTGTCATGACTACCCATCCATATCAGAGTAGCGCCGCATATGAGTGCCACGTATATTGACCAATACGTGCGCTCAATGGCCACGTAAGCGGGAAATGTGCCCAATAATGGCTCATTCCTTGCGAGCGCCACCGCACACAGCAATGCTGTCACACCCGTTGACCAGGCAATCAATTTAGGCCATAAACTATTTTCTACCAGCCGTTGGTAAAGTAGCCGATCGCTCTCCAAATAGCTCAATAATAGTCCGCCCATATATGCCAAACCATGTGTGAATGGTTTAATATTTACCGTGTTGTTAAATGCTCTTGATTTGCTAAATTTATATTTTTTTAATATGTTGTAAAGATATTTATATTTAAAATAGAATTGCACTTACTAATTGTCCCAGTATATTTTTGGAGAAATGGCGTTTAAATATGTAAAGTATGTAGTTGCCATGATACATATAATACTAAAAGTGATGATGATTACAATACCAGCTTTACAATTTCTGTAAAGTTAATAAAAATAATAGATTATAATAGTAAATTAAAAATACAACATTAAACCCGGTGCGATTTATTTTAATCAGCTGACGGTTAATGATTAAAAATATATGTTAGATTAAATATTATTTAAGTACTATATTATAGACTTTTACCCAAATTAATATTTGTTAATAATTTCTATTAGTTCAAATAGTGATTATTTTTAAATAATTTATTTAGATATAATTAATTTCATGGTTTAATTTAGATAAATTATCTCGCGTAATTTTATTAAGTATGTTTTTAAACAAGGATCACACAGCGATGCTATACGTTAACCACAGTTCGGGTAGCCGTTAATACTTGCCATTAAATATACAACTGAATAAAGGTTTAATATACCTTTTTCCGTAGTTATATTGTGGTGAATTTAAATAACT